TGCTGCTGTGTGGATTATTTCTGTTCCAGATATCAGTCATCCCATCCATTCCATTCCATTCCCCTTTGAATTTTCTCCAATATATATGAAGAAGCATTAGGTGGACCTCAAAATACTCTTTGCTGAGTGGATTTTTTTCTCTATGAGGTTTTTCAAACATTTCTGCAAACTTTAGAGCTTCCAAGTAACCCTATTTGATGACAGTGAATTCATGCTTCACTTCCTGAGTTAATTATGAAAAGAGAGACTCAGTATTGATTCTGAGTTAAATTGTGGGAGGAGAAGAAATGCCTAGGGCACCCACATTGGCAGGAGAAGTGATACTGACAGTTGCCATGTTCTGAAACAGAAACTAAAGGGGTACAATCCATAAGCATTTCTCATGGGGATGGGAGAGGAAATTCTTTCTCCTGGAGCAAAATATTAAGAGTGAGTGAGTTTATTTCTAGCATGACGCTCCTCTCTAGATGATGGCCCCACTCTCTCCTGCTATGAATCAAAAGCCTCCATGGGACTGCACTGGGGGAAATGGTTTAACAGAGACACGACTTCGAGGCAAGCATCACAAGCCCACTGAGGTCCATACATGTTCCATGACTCACCTGGGGCTTTTTCAAATAAAACAAAAGCAAACCTTGTCAATAAATAAGCCAGGATGCAAAAAAAAAAAAAGTAATCCGAAACTGGGACATTTTTCCACCTATATTATGCTTTTTGATTGCATAATATAGGAAACTCTCTTCTGGAGACATGCCTGCTCTGCAGATGATGAAGATGGCAGGGCTGATAATCATAATGCAGGGATGGGCCTGTCTTTTTCTGTTAAGGGCCATATTCCCGCAGGACTAACCTGCACAAAGTGGGCGGGGCTAGACAGAAAAGTCCATGAACACATCCATTCTGTCTGGCATTCCCTGTTTAATCTCTCTTCCTGACATCTCTCTTTTCCTTTCCGAAGCTTTTTCCTCCCACTGCATAGGAACAGGCTGCTGGAAAGGTCGGAGATTTTTTTCCCAGATGCCTGGTATGAACTTTGACAAAGTATATGGCCTCTAGGATGCTCACCCTTGAATTAAAGGGAAAAAGTGCTGACTTCTTTGCTGGGGAAGGGGGCAACCTGTAACTTATTTATGTAACCGAAGGGAATATATTTAGACTTCTGGCATTCAGTGATATCTGCTCCCAGACAATTATGTGGCCAGGTTTCAGCCTGCAGTATTTTCCCATGAAAGAGCAGTGAATAGGGCAAAGAGGGCAAAAAAACCCCACATCCCATTCTTTCTTTTGAAACCAAACTCAAAACAAAAAGGGTTTTTTTTACACATCCCTGATGGTGGTTAGCTGAGGACATGGCAAAGAATCTGGAAAAATGCAAAAGGAATGCAGTGAGAAACATTCAGAATTGAATTCAGGAACAGAAAAAAAAAAAGTAGAGTGAAGAAAAAAATAAGGCATTTTTGTTCATTCGTTTGGTCTTAACATTAGACCTATAAAAACCTGATTCCTTACATGGCCAATACCACAGGAAGAGCAGCAGCATTTGGAGAGGCCTATAGTCCAAGTAATTTCAACTTTTCCCATCTGGAAATGGCTGTTAGATGAGATTAGTCAGATGGAACTCTCAAACTTCCTAGTATTTCCAGCCTCTGAATTTCCTTCCTTCCTTCCTTCCTGTCCCATTATTTGTGGTGCTAAAGGGAAAAATCACAAGCAATAGCTCAACCAAATGGATCACTAATATGATTTAAATCTCTTTACAAACGTATCAAATTACCTGCATCTGGCACTTCTCCCCTGCTCCCCCTCCCCGTTCTTCAGATCAGGCTCCCTCAGTGCAAAAGAGCTGGCCTCCTTCCCGGTGCAGGAGATCCTCTGCATTTAGCAGTTACACATAGTTCTGGGAAACTGCTGCAGACCAAGTTCTGTTCTCAGCTGTAGAAAGTTTTGATTCCTTCACTCTCTGAAAATGTCACTGTGATGTTTTTCTTTCAAAAATGCAAATCTAGCTTTAACGTCTATTTATTTGTTAGATTGATATTCTACCTTTCCTCCAAGGCAGTGTATGTAGCACCTCCTTCATCTTTCCTGCACGTCAGCATTCCTAGGACGCAAGGGGCTGAAAAAGAGCGACTGGCCTAAAATCACCACTGTGTTTCCATTGCGGAGTCTCCCTGGTCCTAGTCCAAAGCACTGAACACTCCACTCCACTAGCTCTGAATTCTTATGTACTTTATATTATCTTCACACTCGATATAGTTACCCAGGGAGAAGTCCCATCTCAAGAAGTTCAGATATGAAAAGGTTAAGGGAAAAACTGATCTGTCAAATGTAACCTGTCCCTCTTGATCCATGTTCTTCAACCTTGGCAACTTTAAGATGTGTGGACTTCAACTACCAGATTTCCCCAGTCAGCTAAAGTCCATACATCTTAAAGTTACCAAGTTTGAAAAACACTGGTCTAGATTTTGGACACAGACCATCAAAGACAGGGAAAATAAAGCTCTGTGCAACCAGTGGGAGGCAGGAATATTAGTTGTTTGCCTCCTCGAGTTATATATAAAAAGGCAGGATAAAATAACATCATCATCATCCCAGGTCCTTGGGAAGGACTCAATAGGTGGATAAAAATGCCAAATCCAGTCTAAACATCTGGCTGACTACGCAACCAACAACAACAATAATAATTTGGGGCAAGAATCTAGGAGGTTCTTCAGTTCTTCCCATATCTTTGCTCCTACTCTTTTCAATCAATAGATGGCTCTCCTTATCTGGGGATAAATGCTGAGTAGCTGTCGCTGAACTTCCTTCTGAGGTGGCAAAACCTTCTCTGGGCACTTTTTGGGATAAGCTCAAGGGTATCTTCACCCTCTCCATTAACACGTCACGGTCATCCATGCTGTTGGTCTCAATTTCCAGTTACTGCCATGGTGCTCCACTTAGGCAACCCATGTATCTCTCTTTGGGAATTTTATATCCCACACCTGCCCATTCAAAGTTGGTCAACTGGGTTTTCACATCTTCCCCTTCTTTTTGTGAATTTGTGTAGTGGGCACAAGGTAACCCCATTGTATGTGCACAATCGCAAATGCATTTGCCATCCTTTTCTCTTCCAGCTGTATTTCTGTTGCACGAGCAGCAACACACTTTTCCTTTTTTTTCCCCTTCAGCTACACTACAATTCAGTCTGGGCGTTCCAGGAATCTCTTTCATGTTGTCTCATGCTTGTTCTTGGGTGATTGCTGCCAGACCCCGTTGACTGCTTCTTCTGAGTTTGACATTCTGACCTTCATGCCTTCTCTACAGGGCAGGCATTCTCTCTTTATCTCCCTTCCCACCCTTAGGACAATGCACCTTCTGTACTACTTTAGCTGTTGTTTGTGAGTGAATGAAAGAAAAACCTTTTCTCTCCTACAGAGCAAGAAAAGAAAAAAAATCCTTAAACTTTGATGTTAAAGAGAAGAATACTTGGTTCAGAGAACCTTCTCTAGCAGGAAAAAAGGTTTCCCAACTTACTCATTCAAGATTGTCTTTAAGGATCAAATCGCTGTTCTCCATAGGAATGTACCTCATTCCACTTAACAGAGATGTGTTTGGACATCGTGCAGAGGATATGGTGGACTCTCACAACCCCCTTGAACCCTCTGTAAGTGATGCCACCCCCTACTTTCTTCCAGGGGAAGTCCCCTTTTGCACTGGTTTCCATGGAAGGAGAAAAGGGACAAACCAGCTGCTTCTATTCCCTTTTCTGTAGGTTAACGGAGCAGAGAGGTGGCCTAAACAGCCTTTTAGAATGAGTGGGCCAAATCAGTTAGCAAGTCCTTATTGTGGAGATCAAGGCTAATGAACTAAAGGGGAGTTAAAAACCAACAAAAGGAAAGGAAATAAAGTAACTACTGAGGTTTGCAGAGTTTATTTCCATGACTAGGAATACAGAGATGGTTTGTCATTCTCACCCTCTTTTATTTTTCTTGTTGTTGTATTTCTCTTGTTTTAGATGATGTGAGCTGCCCTGAATGGTTGGGAGTCAGGTGGCATACACATTTGATAAATAAATAAAATAGGACCAAGGGTAATAAAGGTACCACCACTGAGATCATTTTCCATCAAACCAAACTGAGTCTCCCAATTCTCATTTAGCCTCCGCTTGTTCTTCAATTGCTATATAATTCCTGGTTCTCCCATCCCAAACTGCTGAAAAATGTTGGGTCTGCTTATCTGGATTGTGGACAGCTAGGAAGAGATGCTCTACTCTCCCCATAAGGAGGAAGGGTGTTAAAAACAAACAAACGAAATTGAGCTGTTCTTCCTCTTTTTTAACGTTTCCTGCTTCTAAGTTTGGTTGCTTAGAGTTTTATTTTCCACTATCTAAATCAGCAAGTTAGATTTGACTGTCAATCTCTTGGGATGGGATTTCTCCCCATTCGCTATATCCGCAGCATCATTGATGGACACAGGAGGGGCTCCCTCTATAGATGGCAAAATATATATTACTTCACTTAACTTTAGCAATCTTGCAGGTGTCATTCTGCAATGCTTTATACTTAAGGAAATCCAGCTCCCTCTATGTACCTGTCCAAACATTAAGTTTTGCAGAATGGCCCTGATCATCCCACGGTTGGGAGAGCAGTACCACGTGGGTACAAGAGACTCTTCTCTAACATGATGCTCTAACTTTGGAAAGCCTTCCCATGCCAACCTTGTCTGCTTTTTTTTTACTTTGGAATTCAGGACTGAAGCATCACCTTCTAGCTGTGTCCTACTGGCCCTTATTTAAACACACACACACACACACACACACACACCCATGCCTCTCTCTTCATGTATTATGGTTATTGCCATTTTAATCTTTTAAAGTTTTGGTTCTTTTCAGTTCACCTTAGTGTTTTATCCTATTTATGGACTGCAATCCATCCTGAAATTCTTAGAATAGTAAGTTATACATAGTTAAATAAATGCACACATAAAACATTTTTTTTTTTTACTTTTGCCACATTAAAAATTACAACTTGGGTTGTAAATTAAAAGTAAAGGACTAATGGAAAAGGCAAAACAAAAACAAAACCCAAGAAGATGGGATCAATCAAAAGATGGGAAAAGAGATCATTATGGCATAACTAATTATTCTAGCTCTTAATGGTGTGAGACAAGCTTTAACAACCCTGTTGTAGAGGGGTATGGAAATGGTCTTGAAGAAGATATTCAACAGCTGTTCACTCAACACCAGCTTAGCCTGGAAAGGGAGGAGGGAGTGGGGAAGAAACTGAAGATTAGCCCACCTTGATTCTCTTAGGTATAAGAAGGGTGAGAGAGAATCTCTGCCAGGTTTTCAAGATTCCGTTGTTACACCCTTTATAAATAAAGTAAGTGCCAGAAATCTTTGGGGAGTCCGTTTCCTGACCTGACCTGACCTACTTTGAAGGGTTTTAGGTACTCATTGATTCCCTAAAAATGAAGCAAATAAAGAAGAGTCACCAATTAACTTGTAGGATTTTTTTTTTACTTTAGAAATCACTGGCTTTCATAGATTCCAAATTATGAGATCAGCAATATAAGTGTATTTAAACTGTCTTTAAAATTAAAAAAACAAACAAACTAGTATTCCTACCCAAGCATTAAAAGACTTCAGGCAGGAACTGCAGTTGAGCTTCAAAGTATTCAGTAACTTGCACCCATGTATAAAAGTATAACTTCATGACTCTTTAAAACCAGGTCTTTGTGATTTTAGGAGGCACCACTTGAGCATTTCTGAAGTCAAGCAGTCGTCTGACTCTTCCCTGCAGCCCTGACAAGTGCATTGTGAGGAGACCAGTTGTGTGACATGGAACTACAAACCTACACAGTGTGCATATTCCTACACACGCATACATAACCTGGAATGTGTAGTCCATTCAAGGCAAAGTTTTTCACACTCAATCAGACTTTTAATTAAGGCAAGAAACCATAGGCCCTTGGGAAGAAAGTCATCCAAAGGATTTCACCGTTGACAACAGGGTTTGGGCTCAGACATTGGCTGATGAATTAAGCAGCCACCATTGCAATGTTCATTGTAAATACCTATCAATCTGTCCCCTCTTGGCAATGCCAACTTGACACAGCAAAATAACAGAGTTCCCTTTGGGTGCTTGATTAGATACCAGGACTTGTTTTCATAGGAATTTCCTGGGATAATGGAATGCTCTCCCCCCTGAAAAGCTCTTTTGATGCCTCCAAAAGCCTATCAGAAGATTCTCCTTGGCTTTCCAGTTTTGCATAGTTGAGTAGGCCAATGTGGTCAAGCCTAGGCCAGCTCCTGTGTTTCCTACCTATACTCGGTGCCACCAATGCTGTTCTTGGCTGGCCAAGATCCAGAGATTTAGAGTGACCCGAATTTGGGAACTCTCTCTTTGCACATTCATGATGCATGAATGTATCCATCAAGATAGCTGAGTGGGGCTTGCTATCCATATCAATAACTATGTGGCTGCCTTTCAGTGTGTCCTTTCTGGGCACAATGCGGTTGCATCCAGGCAGAAGAGCCCACGAGAGTCTCCGCACCTCCTCCTTCTCCTCTGGCAACCTACAATTGCCTTCCAAGTCCCGGACACCCACCCGAGAAACACTCTGCTTTTCAAGAAGACAGTTGTTAAGCTTAATGAGAGGCAAAGGCAGGGCATTGACAGCTGTAGAGAGGACTGACTCTGCTCCACGAGCAAAGGAGAAGGCTCCATTCTCTGGCATGGTGTTACTGGAGTCAGAATGGATACTCAAGAGGGAAAGTGAAGGTGAGACACTCTTGTGATGAAAGAACTGGGTAGTAGTCTGGAGCCTGCTGGAATTGCAGCTATTGACCCATTTCTTCACAGGGCTGGAGCAGGATTGGAAGCCACTGGAAGAAAGGTCCACCTCGTAGTAGCCTTCTACACATTCAGCATTGGCCCTGAGAGTGGATGAGGTGGTCCTTCTTCTCTGAAAGTAATCACTTACTGGTCCCATGTCCTGTGGGAGTCTCAGGCCCATGGAATAGAGTTCCTGCTGCATCAACATGCGAGTTTCCATATCTCTGTTTTCATACAGCATAGTATTAGCACAGATGAAGATGAAGAGTCCCACACCCATGACAACTGGTCCAATGAGCTTCAATTTCTCACTGTGAAGGAAGGGATGAGCTTGGGGAGAAACCTTGATTTCCTTCCTTATGTCTCCTGCATCACTGGAGTTCCCTGGCCTACCACTTCCAGACTTTGTACGATGAGGCCAATATCCAATCACAGCAATGGTCATTCCCACTAGGACCACTGAGATCCCCACCATCACAAAGACTCCTGAGGGTGACCGCATCCGAAGCTGTCCCTTCACCATTGTCTGCGAGGAGGGCTTGCGCCGAAACCTGCCCCTGTGCCATCGGGAAGGAGCAGAGGATCCTGTTGTCTTCTCTGGAGACTTGTGGGTCTTCATAGCTCTTTTAGCTTCAGCAACTTCAGTTATACTTTCAGTTCCTGTTGGGTTGTCTACAAGTCATCTTAACAATAGTAAGAGAGAGAAGGAAAAAGGTTAACTAGGAGACAGCATGAGTGTCGGTGGAAGGCTGTGGTTCATTAAGATAAGGGCTTATAAAGAACCTCCTAAGCTTTACTTACCAATAGGAAGCTCTACCTCTAAGCTCTACACTCCACTACTAACTTAGATAGCCTCATACATGAAGAACTGCTCATCTTCTACAATTCCAGTTATGTTGATAAGATACCAGAGGCATGCGTTGTTTGCATAACACAATAAACTAGTCTAAAATGGGATTGCGCTGTTTATAGTTCAGAACATTTGGGACAACATATCCATTGTCTTAGTATAGAGTGGGTATCAGGCCATCACATTAAAGCAGTGTTTCTCAACCTCAGCAGCTTTAAGCTGGGTGGACTTCAACTCCCAGAATTCCCCA